GAGCAGTTCGAGGAAGGTGGGGTCAAGGAGAAAGATATTCTCAAAGGGAAAGATTTAAGCTCAGTTGCTAAGAGCTTACATTCCAAGGATGGGATCCCTCAGGCTTTGTGTAAAGATTGGCTACTTGGTCAGAGGGGGCAGAGGCAAGTGAGTTTCCAGGGACGGGCTGGAGTAGATGACTTTTGCATTTCTCTTCCGTATCTGGAAGTCTAAATCATCAGTCACAAACCCTCAGTCCCAAGAACAAAGAAGCCTGATATGTCTCTCTGGGGTCACCATGCATATTCCTAAACAAGGTCCAGAAACTCCACATTCCCAAAGCCAAGAGTTGGGTTGTTTTCCAGTATGAACCCAGAAAAACCATTTGCCAGTCATGAACCTAAAACAGGGGTGAGGAGCTAAGCGCCATACAGGAGGGCATCGGAGTCTCACCTTCCATTAGCGTTGCATTCCAAACTGAGAAATCAATGTGTCCAACCACAATGGAAAACAATTAGTCTTTGTTCCCACAGGTTCTCAAAGAATGGCTTAAAGAAGCCCAAACAAACATTTTCAGAAAATAGAGCAAATTTGTATTACTTAACCCAAGGAATGCAAACAAGTGTAATTAAAGTGAATACCCATAAATAAAGTAAATACATTACTTGGGAAATGAATTAATTAGTGTTTAATTACTATCAATTACTAAAATCACTGCAGAATTACTTGTGGAATGGATTGAATCTCTTGCTCCTATTAATAATTTCCATTGCTAATTGTATGCAATTGTATTTTCTTTTCTTTGGGTGCATCTCGCAGAGCTAATAGAAGGAAGGAACAGCACAGCGAACAATGACAGGAACATTTTTTTCTTTGTTCAGTAAAAAACAAAAGCATTTTGAAAAACACCTGCCTGCTTGTCAAAAGCCAGTGCAGGTGAGGAAGACACTCAGGAGGAAGAGATGTTCCATCTTCACAAGGGGATCCAGGCCGCTTGCTGGTGAGGGCAGCAGTTGGTATTGTGGCAGGGCCTAAGGTGTGTGTGTGTGTGTGTGTGTGTGTGTGTGTGTGTGTGTGTGTGTATGCAGAGAAAGAGAAGAAAGGTGAGCCTTGGGAAGTTTAGTGAGCATATCTTGCAGAATCCATGTACTGACTGTCGGCTGGGTGTCTTTACTCACGTGTTAGAAGGTGAACAAGTATGTTGATACTCACCGTCAGGAGGATGGACAGATCATCTGTGCCTTCCAGTGGGAAGAGAACTTGACTGGTGTGATGTAGTACTAGGAACTAGAGGGGCAAAATGGGGGCTAAATCTTGAACACACAAGTCTTTTGGAGATACTTTATATCTAAACCATAACTCTGGTATACTGATTGATTTCAATGTTAATGTTTCTGGAGATATTGTCACATACATACACATAGAAATAATGTGTCACCAGATCTCTGGACAGTCTGTAGACCAGCCAGATTGACTCACAGAAGCAGAGAATAGAATGGTAGATGTCAGGGTCTGGAGAAAATGTAATTTCTGTGGATCTTAGGTAGAGTCTGGAGTCTATAACTGGTAATGCTATATTTGGGGTTAGAGAGATGGTTCAGTTGGCAAAGTGATTGCCCTGCAAATAGGAGTTCCTGAGTTTAAACACCAGCACACATGTAAGAGCCAGATGTGAATGTGTGCACTTGTAATCCCAGCACTGGGGAGTCAGAGGCAGGAGGAGTTTTGGCTAGCAAGCCAAGTTGATAATCTCTAGGTTTAGTGAAAAACCCTATCTTAAAAATAAAATAGTGATTTAGGAAGATATCTGATGTCAGCTTCTGGCCTCTGCATGCATCTGTTGTAACACACAGACACACACAGATACACACAGACACACAACACATACACACTCACACACACACCAATGCTATATTGTTCATTTGACATTTGTTCATGCAATGGATTTTAAAAGCCCTTATAGTACCCATCGGCCCTTAACTGTGTCTAAGGACTGGTGTTTTGGTAAACTTGATGGTGGAAATCATTTTTAGACCATACATATAGATATAAACATGATTTGCTTGACTCAGATATGCGTGTAAATCAAATTTATCATGCCACATGATTTGGATATATGCAAGTTTTATTTTCTTATTGTATTCCAACATAGCTGGTATAAAATACCAACAAAGAGAGATAGAGATGAACCTGGAGGAGCAACAAGGCCTGGCACTGCTGAACACTGTCGCGAGTTCATTTACACATCAGTACACCTCTTGTATTCCCTTCCTGGTGACCACTTCTCTAGTAATGAGCCCAGCTAGGTGTCAAAATGTTCAACTATGGAAAGGAAATATGCGATATTTGCTTTACAGCATCAAAGAAGGGTCTTGGAGTGAAATGAAAGGGTAATCAGAATGGGTGAAAACACGCATTTGCTTTGGTTAGCAGACGTAAAAAAAGTCCACACAAATACTATCTCTGTTTACAGGGTTGATTGTTTTATGGCAGTGATAAGCCTCTCTATCTGTGTCGACCCCCCTGTCCCATACCTTCCTGGAGTGCTGTTTGGTAGGCTCTTTCTTTGCAGAAAGGGGTTAGACCTAAGTGGATGGCTCTAACGATTGGGTTACTCACATAAACTTATCTGCTTTTGACTAGCTCATGGACGATGAGTACTTTCCTGGGACAGCCATGGTGACTTACTTGTGCCCCATGGCTTTGGAACTGGTCACAATGAATCTGTGTCCTCTCCAAAAGGAATGACACCCACTTTGGCCCTGTTAGCATTCATTGCACAACTGGCCAAGGTGAGGCCCAAAACAGCTTTTCAGCCCTCTGGAAACTGGACCACGAAAGCAACATGCTGTCAATAGGTAACTCCATTCTAAATGTGAACCAGAGTGACTATACTTTTCTTTCAAAAGTTTCTTTGTCCTGGTGTCTTTCTTAGCTTATGAGGCGCTGATCATGATTCTGGGCTTTATCCTGAGGCCAGGTCCTGTGAGAAGCAAATGCAGTTCATCTCTTGAATATGGTCTGTGTTCCACAGGACTTTGGGCCTCATCTCTAGGCCAGTAACTCCACTTACTCCTTGACTGTTTAAGAACTCTTGAGCTTGTGAATGTGTAACAGTGGAGGGACATATGTCCTGCCTTCAAGGGGACAGCTGAGTGGGTCCTAACATGGTCCCTGGCATTTCGAAAGAGGCTAAACAGGTGTGAAGGGAAAGCTCAGGGAGGCTTCCAAGAGGAAGGGTCCTGAGGATAAGAGTGAGGAGGAACTTGTGAATCTTGGCCATCACATGAGTTACAATCAGTGACAAGTAAGCCACCTGAGATCTCGCAAAGCAGAGGAGAGTTTGTCAGCATCTAGGCTGGCGTCAGGGTCAGTGGGACTCTAAAGACAACAGACCAACAATATACACTCCTCACACATGTGTTCCCCTTTCTGGGAATTCTTCTGAATCCCTGAGCACCTGTACCAAAGGAGAAGGTGGCCTGGCCACGTGGGCTGGACTCTTGACACTTCTTTAACCTGTGGTGTGACCCTAGGCACAGCTGGACCTCATTGAATGACACATGGAATACCAGTCTCCTGGCTCTATGAAGATTCAAAAAGAAACAAAGGATTTGAGAGGGAGAGAGAGAGAGAGAGAGAGAGAGAGAGAGAGAGAGAGAGAGAGAGAGAGAGAGAGAGAAAGAGCTTAGCATGGTGTCTAGTTCATAATAATTATTCAATAAATGATAGATCATTATTGTGGATGCTAAGTCTCATTTTTTTCTCTCAGTTGATTGTTATTAAGCCAGGCTAATGTGTTGCCTGATGAGGCATTGCCCTAAGTTGTATTTGCATTTCAGATGGAGACACTTGAAGAAGAGAATTTATGTGCCGTAAGGTGAGCAACCACCTTCTTCCCAGCCCTGAGTGTGAACAAAGGTTAGATAATCTCTAGCAGAGGGTTACCTGAAGGGAGGTAGAGATGTTCCTAGGAATGTGACACTGCATGGAGCCAGCACTGAGTGACTTGCCGCCTAAAAGCCCACAAGATGCCTGGGAAAGATTCCTGAAAACCCCAGCTCTCCTCTCCACTCCCGCCCTCCCACTGTGATGACACAGAAAGAAAATGAGCCCAGCAAGACGCTATGCTCTGTCCTTTGAATGTCACAGCCCTAGAGGTAAGGGCACTTGCCCTTAAGTGTCTAACAAACATTGGTAGCCAAGAATCTTATCTGACTCTTCATTCCACTCAATCCCCCTTGCTGGTGAGACCTTTACCTTCCATAAATGGGATACCAGTCGGGCTCATTACTTCTATTTGCTGAAGTAAGCAATTTAATCCTAACCTAACCAGGGCCTGAAGTCTCCCCATTCTCTGGCAAAACCCCACTGGGGATGATCAAGTTTCACTGGGTACAATGAAACAAAGCTGGTGCTGAGTCAGGCTCTAGACTCCGGGTCTGTAAATCATCACCCTGACTCCTCAGCTGGAGATGTTATCAGCCCCACAGCCTTCTCCCTCATGCTCCCACTGCTGTTTACAGAACCCTGCCTACTAAGGAGGTGACCCTAGTTATGCGTTCTCCTCCAGACTCAAAACCCAGCTGGCTCTGGGTCCCCAGTCAAAACATCTATGGTCTGCAGAGAGTTCATGCTAAATCTGCATCTATGGGCTGCATACAACCCACACAGGCATATCGGCTACTCAACACAGCTTGCTCCTGGCTGCATCTTCTGGACAGGGCTGAGGAGAGTCAAGGTGAAAACCAGGACAGGGTGGGGAATTCTGTCTAGGTATTTCCTGAGATGAGACACTGCCCTAAGAGAGAAGCGCAAGGACAGTGCAGTTCATTCTTTGGAGACCTATAGCTTCCCAAGGTGTGTGCAATAAAGGCTGCTGGGTGACATAACACTGAGAGCCAATCAGTGGAGAGGTTTCTTCTAAACACACATCTTCAGAATTCTGAGCAAATGTCATGCACAGGAAAGGTAAGATTGCCAGTTGTGAAGAATCCTCCCGGCTCACAATCAGTATCTAGCTCTTTAGGCTAAGTTTGACCTAATAGATGCTATGTCCTAAAGCCAAACCCTTCCCTCCTGAAGAACGGATTCACACTGATCCAGGGATTCCCAGGTGCTCTGCAGAGTGGGATTGGGAATTTAGGGGACAGGGCCAGAGGCTCTCCTCTACTTCTGGTTCCTGAACCCCAGTTTCCCTTCCTTTATAACTGGGCATCTGGGTTTGGAGCTGGACCCCTTGACTAGATTTTCCTTACAGGCCTTCCCACCTCAAACTTTTATCAGACCTCTAGGAGGCAGAGGTGCCAAGTATTGTGTCTGAGAAGCCAGAGGTGGAAAACTTGTCTTTGTTTTGATTCTAGGGGCCAATCCAGCAGAAGGTCCTTTGTCCCTGTCTGTAAGCCGGATCAGAAAAGCTGCCAGGACTTTTGATGGAACATGGGGAAGCAGTCACCTGGCAGGGTTGGTGGCAGCAGGAGGGACAGCTCTTTTTTTATATACTGAGATTTCTGACACCTGGATCCTACCTTCCACCCACGGCTGCTTATCTGCCTGAATTCAGGAGGTAGCTGGGAAATCTCATTCTGCAGGCAGAGAGAGAGCCAGCTTCAAATCTCAGCTTTGGCAAGTCTTGTGACCTTGGGTCACTCAGTCCCTGCCTTGTGAGTTTGCTCTGTGTTAGGATGGCAAGGAATATGCTTGGTAAATATGAACTTCAGGTTTGGCAAGCCAATGTCGTGCCTTGTGAGGTAGGATGCTTCGAGAAGGCAAGCCTTCCTTTAACACCCCTGCCCCAATATGGCTGCATCAATCCACGCATGAGGTCAGCTGAGCACAAGTGACCAACTAAATGAGTCAACTCAGTGGTTCTGTTCACTGACCCACTATCTGTCCACAGTATCTGTTTCAAGGTGTATAAGACGCATGGGAGGAGCACTCTTGGAAACACTCAGTTCTCCAAGGAAAGTAGTCCCAGAAGTTCTGTTTCCCCTAGAGCTTGCTACCCAATGCCTCCCCTTCCCCACCCAGAACTGTGCTTCTGGCAGAACCTGAACTTGCCTTGTCCTCGAGAGTGAGCAGAACTCAAGGCAGCCGCTGCTGTAGACTCTTAAGAGGATCTTATCTGCTTCCCTTTTCCCAGACGTGAGGGTGGCTTCTGTACAGACTGTCAAATCCTGAACCACCTTTAGCACCCTGGTCCTAAACTAAGTGACAGAAGTTATCTGCAGGAGGGATCAGGAGACCAAGGCTCTGTTCCCTTGTGTTCCTGGGGAATCTTGATATCTGACTTGCCCCCATGATAAAACTGAAAAAAGAATCCACAAAATACAAAGTAATTATCTCATGGTTCTTCCTTGCCTGCCTGCAGGTCTATTCCAGGTGTCAGTGGTGGCAGAGGGAAGACATAACTTTACATCGTCACTGCCAGCTGTGGAAGACCCTTAGTCTTTTAGGTACCTAATTACTGGTAAAAGCAGATCCTGGGCTTTGATGGAGAAAGGGCTTTTAGGGAAGTGGAGTTGGGGTTTATTAAGGACAGCTTAGATTCCTAAGCACAAGACTGAAATGAAGGGAAGTGCTTACAAAACGTAAGCCACACCTAGGAGCATGGGTGTGACCTTCTCAAAGATCACTCACACGCCCATGTCCTCACAGCAGTCATGGACAGGATTTGGGTGGGTTTTGAAGTTTTTAATTTCAAAGGGTTGCTAAGGAAACTAAAGGATACCAGACCCCAGGGAGGCACCTGGTAGTATCCCAGTTGATAAAGTGAAAGTCAGGTTTCAGGGGATGGAGGGAGATAGGACAGTTACAAGTCTTTGAGAGACCAGGAGGTAGGCAGTTTCCCTGGTAGACAGACAGATAGGGGGAGGGGGGATGGCTAGGTAATAAAGGTGGTGAACTTCTAAGACAGCCTGCTTCTTTCTCAGCTCCTTGTACTGGGACAAAAGACAAAGGCAAAGGCTAGCAGCTCACCTTTCTGATGGGCTTTCTCAGCAAGACCTGATCAGGACAGTCATGGGCCAGTCAACCATCCTATCTCTCTTCAAACTGACTAACCCTAAATCAGGGAAGGAAAACTCTTCAGAGACCTAAAACTTAGCTCTTAAGAAATGACTGGTAACTTTGGATTCCTGAGTCCTCCATCTGCCTTACAGGAGGTCATTTTCTCAGTCTGTCTGCTGCATGTGTATGTCTCCTCTCCCCCAATAAACACTTCTCTGCAACTAATGATTCTGTGTGCTCCTGTTTGTGGTGTGTATGATTTCTTCACTGCTACCTTTCATGCTCAAAATTTCCCTGCCTTTCAGCTCTTTAACTGGCAGAGAAAATGAACCTAATCAAGATGCCTAGACCATATCAGTCTTGTTTGTGAGCCACAAAATGTCTGGGTGAAAGAATGGGGCCCTAACCAAGATCATATACATTCAGGCATTATGCCTGTTTTATTGCTATGTGAACATTAAATGTCCATATAAGAAATGGATATATTTGCTGAGAACCTTCACAGCAAATGTTAACTGTACTGAATTGCTACTTCTCAGTTGGTTTTAACCAATGGACTTCAACCAGACTTGGTAATGAGAAGCCCCTTTCCCTTCCCCTGTATTTGTAATTCCCCATCTTTCTGTCCTGTCTTGCAGGCAGCTGCTCCTCCTGAACATCACCATCTTTCTCTTTAATTCCACTGAAAAATGATCAGCTCTTGCCAGGCCTCACTAGGGGGTCAGGGCAAGGATGGCCATCTTTTGGGGCTATCCCAAATAACCTCAACATTGTCATGCATATGGGGCCTGAAGAGGGACCCTTGGTGGATCACATGGTGGGTGAGAGACAAAATGCAGGTGAGAGATAGGGAGAGACTTGCACACAAAGCTAATGTGGAAAGTTTATTGGGTGAAGCAGGGAGAGAGAGATAGAAAAAGAGACACACAGAGAGAAACAGTGACCTGCATCCTCAGAGAAATAGCAGGAAGAGTGCAAATGGGCAGAGTTTGCGTCTTACAGGGACCTTCACACCTGTGTACAGAGCCAGGGTACTGCTTGCCAAGTGCAGAGACGGCACACTTTGCCAGGTCCCCAAGGAGTGGGGCCAGGTTTGCCTGGATTATAACACTCATCACCAACAGTCCCCCTGACAGACAGAGTTGCCCATGTAGAAGACTGTGACACCAATGAAAGTTTCTAAGACCTGTACAGCAAGGCCAGAGTCTAGCATTAGAGTCTTCAAGCATCTGAATAAAGACTTTTCCTATGGGACACATGCAATGAACATGTGTTGTGGGAGGCCGCCATTAACTGTGGTGAATGGACCACAGTGGGAAACATCAGCCCAACCCTCCTGTCCAGGCTTTCATCTCTCTGGAAGCCATCGTGGGTGTTAGTGAGGACCCTTTCTCACAGCCTCACTTTGTCAGTCACCATCACTCATCCTTCACCTTTACTGCATCCAGCTGACCTTCAGAGGGGTTTACAGGGCTGCCCCTGCCCCAGGTAATGCAGGTAGTTACATGCCAGATCCTGTAATGTGAGATTCATTCTTGGCCCAGCTAGGTCCCACCACCCTTCTCTGACCCAAAGAAGCACACAGACACTATATTAGTTATGAAGCTGTTGGCTGGTGACTAGCGTTTCTGATTTGGCTAGCTCTGACTTAATTATTAACCCATAACTCCTAATCCATGTACCTCCACTTAGTCTTGGCTTACCAGACCTGCAACTCCTTTGCCTGCTACATGATGATGGCTGTCTCAGCTTCTCTGCAGAGAAGAGAGTGAGTTCCTGTTTGTCACTCCTTACATTCTGAGTCTGTCCAGCTATGTCACTTCCTATCTGTCTGTACAGACCTCCAGACCCCTATAGTTAGCTAGTGGCAGTTTCTGACCAGCTATGTCACTGCCTGGGATCACATGACAACTCCTCTCTGCCTACAATTCCCAGAATCCTCCACCTCTCCTAGTCCCAGCTGTCTTGTTTCCCTATTGGCCAACAGTGCTTTATTCATCAACCAATAAGACAAACATATATACAGAAGAACATTCCCCATCATCTCCTCTTTTCTGTCTAAATAAATAGAAGGGTTTTAACTTTAACATAGTAAAATACGTAACATAACAGTTATCAAATAAGAACTATAGTTACAATATTTAGTTTATTAACAATTAGCAAGATTTAAAGAAAATATCCTATCATCTATCCTATCTTTATGAGTCTAAAGTCTTATATGTAACTTATCTTTTGTCATACCTAAGAAAAACGTAACCTCAACTCCATCAAAGACCACAGAACGATAGTATATAAACTATAGAACTGACAGATACATCTTGCTACCTGGACAGTCATCCAAAGTTCTTCTGAAATATTGGGACATCCATAGAACACAGTGTCTGACAGACATTCAGTGAAGTAGAAAATTTTAAACTGTCTGCCTGCATTGACAGTATGTAAGTCACTTCCTCTGTGTCCTTTAGAATGTCAGGCAGATTCTTCCATGAAGCAGGAATCCTTCAGGACTGCCCATCTTGTTTTTGCAAGTTCAGCAGTCACTTTCCTGTGGGTCCTGCATGTCCAGTTTATACAGCAACAGTCAAAAAGTTCAGGCAAGAGCAGTTTCTTGTCCAAATGGCTAGTCTCGCCATATTGAAATCAAACTCCATATGGAGTTTCTTCGATGGCCATCTTCTTCTCAGATGTAATTGGTGTTGTCAGGAGCAGTTGTGTCTCACTGTCATGAAAAACCTTAACCCATTTAAATGCCATATATTCTGTAGGTCTTTGAAAGGTTTGAAGAATATTTATCCATCTCAAGTATATCTGCGTATATCTAGAAAACCTAACTATAAATTTTGACTATTACAGATGACTATGTACAATCTGTACTTAATTATGCATTGCATTTTAAAAGATCTGTATAAACACAATACCCAAACAAGAGGGGATATATATATATGTATATATATATGTAACAAAATTGACCTTAAATTTGTATCAATAAATGAAAATCCATACCAATGCAAAGTATTCATTTCTATATCATCTCCCCTTTTTTCTTTAGAAGATTGACTTTGATCATTAACCATTTATAATCAACCCCATTTAAATGAAAACAAACATTTATAAACAATACTTGGGAATGTGGGTGTCATTCTCTCTGAACTGCTTCCTGCTGTTTGGGGACACAGTAAACCATGGGGATCATCAGAAAACAGAAACCTGTCCAAATCCTAGCTGTAGTATTCTGCAAATCTGCATCGTCCCAGGTATCTTAGATGTTGTATCACCTAGGCCACTGCTTCAGGGGGGTTTTGCTTGATCAAACCATATTAGTCTGGAAGGAATCCACAGCCTTTCATTTTCTGTGGAAACACAAACAATATCTCTTTTCCAAAGTAACATATCCTTATACTTAAACTTAGAAGTCAAGGCATTTTTAAAACATATAAGTTGGATTAATCCAGCAGCATTTCTTCAGCAGTTGTTGCTATTTCCTCGGTAGTCAAACAATTCGAAGAAAACACAGTAACATTCGGTATCCAGACTCTCGGTGTATTTTTCATCTTTAGTTGATTTATTTATTTATTTGTTTATTTATTTGCTTCTTTGTTTATTATTATTCTATTTCTTTTACTGTTTTCATATTTCGAGACAGAGTTTCTCTGTGTAACTTTGGCTGCCCTTGAACTCACTCTGTACACCAGGCTGGCCTTGAAATCACAGAGATCTGTTTGCCTCTGCCTCCTGAGTGCTGGGATTAAAGGTGTGTGCCACCACACCCAGTTACTCTCCTTTCTTTCTTCCTTCCTTCCTTCCTTTTTTTTCTTTATCCTGTTTCTTTTCTCTCATGAGCCTACATATATTTTTAAACTGTAAACACTTTAGAGGATTTTCTTCATCTGAAGCTGTCTTTACTGTAAATCTTTACCTTTTTCTGGCCATGTGTCTTTTATCTGCTAAACAATATTACTAAAATTAAAGCCTTGGCTGTTTTAGCTGCTGTCTTTTCAAGATGGCAGGGGTACATTTACCACCAGCACTGGGAACTGTGCTTACTACCTTGGTCTATGCTGCCGGCTTGGAGATGTCACTGCCACTGCCAGCTGCTCGTACACACCATTCAATTCTTAGCAGGGCCTCTTAAAACAGCCTTGTGTCGTCGTCGTCGTCGCCCCCGCCCCCCCCCCTTAAGCTGAGTCTGGAAGACTCCCTCTACTTGTCTCTAGCAAAACAGAGCCCACCTGAGAAAAATGCTGCTACCTAGAAGCCCTGCTTGTCTCTGTTCTTTTGTTTATAAAATCCCTTTCTAAGCCTTTGTCAGATTTACATGGAAATTCCTGCCACACGTTGCTGGTACCATCAAGATCCCAAAGTAATTACCAGGACAAACCAAGCTGGTGGTCCACCAGTAGTAGGCCTTGGACAGGGATATCTGCCCCTTGCTCCACCCGAGGGCCTGCCAGATTATAGAAATAATGTGAATGAAAAGGTGCATTCCTTGGTCCTTATCGTGCTGACTAAGCAACATGCAGTGAAGATCTTCATAGAGGAGCCCATTTGACGCAATTCTGCTCTTAGCGGCAGAACAGCTGGTCCGAAGGAAAACCATCCTCCTGCTTCCTTCCCCCTTCCTTGCTCTTTTCAGTGACAGCAAGGATAAGCGCGGAGGCACTTTCTATCCCCAGAAGTCAAGTGGGAGCCATCCATCAGAGACAGGACCTGCCTGCGACAAAAATGGAAAATCATAAAACTGCCACGAAAGCATATTTTCAGAGCTCCCGGGCTTCCTTTTCAAGCTCCTCCCACTCTCCCACGGATCCCATCACTCCTGCAGGCTCCATCTCCTCCTGCTTACCCCGCCCCCCACTTCAAGTCTTCTTCCCTTTTCCTTAATGAAGAAACCAACCAGTTGTGAACAGTTAAAACTAAAAAGGGTTTACACACACACACACACACACACACACACACACACGTATATGTGTGCGTGTGTGTGTATGTTTGTCTTTGTGTGGGTACATGAATGGGGGCACCCACTGGGGTCCAGAAAAGGGTGTCAGAGACAGGCAGTCAAGAGCCACCTGCAATGGATGATAGGAGTGGAACTCAGGTCATCGGGATGAGCAGCTAGTACTCCTAATGGCTACTCCCCTGTGAACGTGGTTAACCCAGGAAACTTCCTAACTCCCTTGCTCAATGGGCAGTCCCTGCAGCTAGCATAGTTCATGCTT